TTCCTTCCTTCCTTCCTTCCTTCCTTCCTTCCTTCCTTCCTTCCTTCCTTCCTTCCTTCCTTTCTGTTTCTTTAACCCATCCACTGATAAAATGGTTGGCCTTTCCTTTCCTTTTAAGCATCGTATCTAAATGACTTAAAAGGAAGGCAGCGCAGGAAGGATAGAAGGCTGCTATGGATGGTGCAGAAAAGGAAGGCTGAAAGAAAAAAAAGTGGGAGAAGGAAATGTGTATATGTGGGCGAGCTCTTGTTTGCATATTATTGCTTATGCTTATTTACATTAAATAAGCCCCTTTCAGTTTTTAATAATTGTGATCAGAGGGGACTAGATTAGTTCTAAAAAGATGGTTGATGACCACTTGAGGTTATCTGAGATACAGATCATCCATCTTGGGTCAATTATTGTCTAAAGAGGAGCAAAGTAATTTATGTCAGTGTTGGGACAATTCCTTAGTTCAAGTGGTCCTTAATTGCTTTCAGGAATAATCTTTATAGCTAATATGCATCAGATGAAAATGAGTGAGATGGAAAATAAGGGTTTCTAGTACAGCCATTGGAGAGGTGATGCTTAGGGGGTACTCTTTCAAAATGTAGGCTAGCATATAGATACATATGTTCAAATATGTGTATCATCTGCTTTTAGCACTAATCTGCAAATGCTGAAATGTTCTTCTAGTCAGATTTTCCATGCTGCTATGCTCCAAGTTAATGAACTGTGTCAGAACTCTAGCATCATCAGAATCAAATAAACCTCACCACATCAACTTATTCTACAAAATATTTACTAAAACTAAACAAGTTAATAAGGACTCATTTTACAGGATAAGGAAAGGGATTGAGCTCGACAGATTATCCTGCCAAGACATTTCATGATGTTAAATGTTCTGCATGAAGGAATATTCTCAGCAATCAAGTTTGGAAAAAAAGTTTAAGGAGTTACACATTTGAATTGCATATTCTGATCCTGAAAATAATCTGCATTATTTATTATTTATTTAGTTGGTTTATTTGTTTGCATCCATTTTACAAATAATTCAAGGAGGCTAGCATATCCAACACACCTTCCACTTCTTATTTTCCCCACAACAGCAACAACTCTGTGAGTTGAGTTGAGATGAGACACAATGAAAACCCAGCAAAATGGAGTTATAATGTTGAAGTTATATAGGCTTGACTGTATAAAGTGCTTGAACTTAAAGGAGGACTCTGACCAGCAATCCCAGATAAATTACTTTTGATTGTTTTATAGTGCAAAAAATTAATTACAGTATCATTTACTAACAACATACTACAGGCATTGTTCTATATGTACAGAATTTCATTATAATCATTCCAGGGATACATGTACGTTTCCCCACAACCCAAATTATCACGTTCTGAGCCACCAGTACCAGGAAACAGCAAGATGCTGATTAAATCTCCCAGATAGTTCGTAGGCAGACTTCCCCCTTCTATACAACTTACAAGTTCAGGCAAATGTGTCAGAAGCTGAATATGTTTGCATTGTATTATCAGAATAAGAGCAGGATATAAATCTTGAAAGCAGATAAATAATGGAAGTAATGTTTTTTTAATCTTTTTTTCTCCCCAGTGGGCTGAATTTATCCTTTTTGCCATGCTCCTTTTTATCGTCTTTGTTATTTTCTCCATCATGGGATATTTCTACATTAGCACAGACCCAGAAGAACTTGCTGATAAAGGGAATGAACATGAAACATCAAGCAATAAAAACATGATTGGCCTTGTTACCAGGAAAACAGAGCTATAAAGGGGCTGCAAACACTGGAGTTAAGTCTGAGAGGCTTTTTAAAAATAAGATAGTGATTTGACAGATTTCTTTCTGATGTTATGATCTCATCGGATATATTCAGAGGGAATGAACAAACTAAATTATTGTTCCCCTGCATGTCAGCTGAATAAATGTATCCAAATTCCTGGAATGGTGCCTTCTTCAAAAGTAATTATAAAGTAGCTTTAGCTATTCTGCCTCCATCAGGCACTAGGAGTTTTATATGTAAAGCACAATTATGTCTGTCTGTCTGTCTGTCTGTCTGTCTGTCTGTCTNCGTACCACACTTTGGGAAACACTGGCATACCCTAACCATTTGGGAGTTACGTGTGATGCAAAGCAATCATCATGTGATGATCGTTTCATAGATCTGGGGAACAGAGGAGGGAGCAAAACCATGTCCTAAAATATTCCTTAGTGGTTTCAGCAAAAAACACAAAACTCCACTTAATTCACTAGATATAAGTAGAGCTGAGAAGCTTTGGCAGTCTTTCAAGGTTCTGTTACATCAACCTACTCGCTATAAAGATCATTCCAGAATTCGAAATGATTTCCCCCCCTAAATTTGCCAGCTCCAATGATCATCACATACAGTATTGTGAAATAACGGTATCTGTATTATTTGTGTCAGTTACCTGGTTCACCCAGGATTTTAAAGCATAATGTGGTTTGTTTGGTTTTCATACAGAGTATTGTGTGAACCTAGCTGTTGCAATTTATAATTTAGCATGTTCTGATAATCCAGCCAATTCTACACTTATTTAATGAATAATGATTTAAACAAACCCACAGTTTAATAAGTTTTATTAATAAGATCAACAGTTAAACATGGGGGGTTATATATTAAGAACATTGCTAGCTATTCCTCCAGCCAATTATGCTAAGGTATTCCAGAATATGGAAAATATGAAATTCAGCAAAGTATCTTATACTTGAGGCTCATCCTAATCTCTTTCTTGTCCCAACATGAGAGTTTACTTTTATTTTAATTTATAAAGCAGGAGTAAACAGTGTTGGTCTTAATATTCCAATCTTTTCATGTTCTGTGTCAAAGTAGTGTTTTTCAATCTCTGCAAGCACAATCAATACTCTACAATCCACTTGATATGCTTCATTTGTTATAGGCAATGCCTTGATAGTTTGCTTCTCTGGTCACTGCCCTCTTCAGCCATTTTATTGCTGAACCAGAGAAATGGTGAATTATTCTTTCCTCAGTTTACTGGTGAACTGGTGAAACAGTCCCTCCCTTCCTTCCTTCCTTCCTTCCTTCCTTCCTTCCTTCCTTCCTTCCTTCCTTCCTTCCTTCCTTCCTT